GAGACTAGGGATGATTACAGGCAGTATGCTAGTTGGGTCCAAATGTTTTTCGGTAAATACTACACGGTGTCGTGTCATTTAAACGCTGCAATTCGGTCTCTAGACTAATGAATGTCTTCAGTTCGACGCAACACTCATAGGTAGGTTATTTTGACTGACTTAAATTTGACGCATTTACATTTCAGCCTAATAAAAAAAAATCTGCGTGCTTCGAGATGTCGTACCTATACGACATTTTTTTTTTGGCATCAAAATAAAATAACTAGTCCGATCAATATTACCGTTGAGTACGTCAACAGCTGCTCCGTTAAAATAATTTTTAAAAATATGTAATAGTAGGCACCTATAATTATATATTTATTACTGAAACTAATCCGCCCAACTAGAGTAATACGTAAAATAATCTGAGACCCAACTAGTGTGGTAGATAATTGTCTCAGGAAATTCTAGACCCAACTCGGATGCGGCCATTATATATAATAGTATTGCTGTGGAGTAAGAAGTCAGACCAAAAAATTGTTTTAATATTGCTATTTTCATAGGGTGCTACCACTGGGTATCTTCCCTAATCTAATTACCCATATTATATTTTTTTTTACTTGTCATTCACCAAACCTACTTATTGTACAAAAACCATGTATAGATTGTAGATTTCTTCAAATAAATAAAAAAAAAAAAAAAAATATTGCTATTATCTTATAAGAAGATATGTTTTTACGATGCTAATTAAAAATGTAATCTGGATTCTGGTCCTTTCAGAAACATTAAGTATTGTGCACGACGAGCTAACAAGCTTTTATTTATTTTATTCATTGTTTTGTCTAAAGAACACTCATCAATTGAAATAAAAAAGGGTTATACTTGATTATATTCTATGATGCAAATAACAACAACTACAAATTATAATTATTAAAAATATTAACTATGACAAATTATTAATATTAACAATAAAATTAATTTATATAAAAATCCAATAAATTATATAAATGGAAAAAATATGATTGTTTGTTATACGTATTTTAAGGATCTTAGTGAAGCTTACGATTTTAAAATAATTTGTTTTGTTTTTTTTCAACACAAATGAAAATTTAATTAAAAAATTTCCACGCAACAGTTTTCAAGATTTGAATATTGTACTTCAAAAATATACCTTTTAATTTTCCAGTAAATTGAGATAATATCGTGTTAAATTCCAAACAATAGAATCGATAAAAATAAACCAACGTTTGTTTATAATAAAATGATGACCATTTTTTAGTTAGCTAAACGTCACAATGGAAGTTTTTCGATTATATAATATTTGTGTACTTAACTTTTTTATGGATCAATTATTATAAGAAATACATTTTCAGTTATATAAATAATTTCTATAACATATTTTATTTTATTTATTTATTCATAGGTAACTAATAATTAATAATATAAAAATATAATAATATATAAGGATCTGATACAGTGGCGGAAACTGATAACCCTTATCTTACACCTAAATCCAATAATTACCAACATCATACTTTCGGATATAATCCTTAAATCAATTTTCGGTATAATTTTTAGCCTCATCTTGCAAACTTAATTAAGACATTTTTCTTATAAAATAGAAGTATTTTACAACTTTAATACTTGCAATTACTAAAGTAAATTATTATTTTCGTTATAAATATTTATGTCAACAAAATGTTGTAAAAGATTTTAACAACAAAGAAAAGTGATTTATTCATCAGTAAATGAGCCCCACTCAGTTTTTTTAATAATAATACATTTCCTTTTTAAAATATACATCTTTTAACAACTGTTTAAACAATACACTTGAGAAAAATTCTCAAAAGCGACCTATTTTATGTCAAAGTATTTACCCTACACAAGACGATTCTTTCCATACTTTCGTTGTCTCGTAACATACTTAATTATTAAAACACATACCTACCTATATAATTTCTCAAATATAAATATTTATCTATAGATTTTTATTGAGAAAATTATTATTAAAATAAAAATAGATCATTTAAAATAGTAATTTATACACAGTAAAAATACTAAAAATTAATGAAATTACTAACTAATGAAACAATTTGTTAATATCAATGATTTTTAATACTTTGAATGAAACAGTTACAATTACCTACCTACTAATAAATTTAATTAGTATAGTAAAATAATGGAATATTGTATCGATTAAAACATTAACCTGAGATATTTGAAGACGCAAGTTCCAGCAACGAGCAAGGGTAGGTACACCACTATACTTAACCTTACCTAACCAATACGTCGTTAAATAATTTGAATTTGAAATGCTTATAATTATGAATAATAAACATTCAGTTAGAAATATCTGTTTGAAAAAAATTATGTACATGATGTATATATTTTTTCATATAAACTAGCATATTAAAAATATTACTTTTGAAGAGATTTACATTAAAAAAATTAAGGATTTTCAACTCTTCAATAATAAAAACTAATATTATTAAATATTATGGTTTTTAATGTAATACTAAACACACACACACAAATAATGAAAATTATTTCACCAAATCATTGTAGATACACTTTACACGCCTTTTCAGGGACTGATTTCCTGACGATACATTGATTAATTTAAAGATCAAATAATACTTATATTACTTATTTGGAGTATTAAATTAGAATTCGTGAACTGACTTTACTGGGCTGTAGTTTTATTGTTAGGTTAGATGAGTAGGTTGTGACTCCTGGCAATATTAATTTCTTTTCGGTCTTATGGGTGGGTTGAAGGTCATTGGTTTGGTTACATTTTTACCAAGATTTTTGGTAATTGAGGAGTTAAATGTGATAAAATATGTAGGATTCGATATCGGTTTTAAAATTGTGTTCATTTTTAGATCTGATTATAGTATTTGGTTCGATTGTAGTTGGGGCTTTTGCTATTACCTAATCGAAAGATTTTGTATTTTGTCTAGGTTTGATTTTAGGTAATTTAGTGTGGCTGAAAGTTTTGATTTTACGTTAAGAAAATATTTAAGGGTACGAATACGAGAATTAAGATTCAATTTGTTCTTTTGTGGCCAGGGTAATTTTTTGTCAAAATATATTCCGAGATATTTTGTGTAAACTAAGGTTGGAATTAAGATATTAGTAAATTTAATCTGGGAGCAATAGTGGATGGACTTATTTTTGATAATTTTAACTTTCCGATTTTAATACGATGTACGATTGATTGTTATTGGTTGGATACGATGAATTAATTTTCATGAATTGAAAGAATCACCTAATCATCGGCGTATTTAGTCAGAAAATTGTAAGTATTAGTGTATTGATCTGCTACCGTTATATCGAATCGTATAGGAGTTGTTACTGAGTCTTGACGAATTCTAGATTGTATGGTGGAAATTTACGAGATACCATGGAGAGTAGCATAGAAAAGCAAATCAAAGTAGAGTTTAGAAAAAAAATTATCAGAGTCTAGATAAATCTGAATAATCATCTTGTGTGTTTAGAGAAATTTTATTTAACTATAACTAATGACTCTTGCTGCCAAGTTTCATTTCCAGATCGATAAAAAAATCAACTATAAAAAAATAACATTGAACTATAAGTACCTAGTTATTACGATTATTTAGCATTTCTTCTTGTATAAAAGGAATTCTAGTTTTTCCAACTATAGATATTATAATAAGTTTTAAAATTCTTCCATGGTAGTCAGTAGGTACTTATATAAACTTATTTAGTTCTTATATGAACCCTTTTAACCCCGTTAATTACTAATTACAAAAATGTATAGTAAAAATAATAATTTTATGATCATAACCCTTCACATGAAATTAAAATTGAGTTTTACTTAATAAAAAAAGTTTACGTTCATTAAAATTGATAGTATCTTTTTGTAATGAAGGTAATACAAAAATGTTTAATTAAAAACATATATTTTACCAAATTTAGAATGTTAGGTTATTTTAACTGGCTTGGCTGAAAATGTTAAATGTTTAAATTAAAACACGGTTGATCATTGTTTCCGATTTGCTGAAAAATTACCAAATAACTTCACGACAGTAAACGAAAACAATTCTAATAAATACGAAGTGATAAACAACAATTTTGAAAACAGACTTTAAAAAAACAAAAATACTGCTAGTCCCAAAGCAGCATACGGTTCTCCTCTAAAATTGGCAACCCAGTCAATCGGCGAACTGCTACACGCTAGGGCATCTCGCCAAAACTGTTGTCGGTTTTACATATTTGCACATTCACAATACTCTCGGGGGACAATAGTATTAGCAACCTTCAGCTAATATAACTTTACCCTTTGCGAATGTCGGTAAAGGTTTTAAGTCGGTTTCTATTATTGCGGTTATTTCGATTTATTACATACTTGTGGATACGTCTGAAACTCAATGCAAATATTTACAAGAAATATTTTCAATAACTGTACATCAAAAAAACAAATACTAAAATCCTGTACAATGAATATAATATATCGTAACTGAAAATCATAGTAAATATATATTTATTTACAACACTTGTGTGATTATGAAATAATTTCTATATTAATAATCTTCATTAGAATGAATAAGTAAAATATTATTAAATTACCAAAATAAACAGTGTTGATAACAGATTATTAGATTATTTGTAAATTTCATCTTGCTCTGACTTTGTCCATCCTGTAATAGAAAAAAAACTAAAATTCAAAATGTCCATACGAATTTGTTAAAAATAAATTGACGTTGCTGATTATTAAAAAAAATATATTGTAGTGTGTATTCCCGTATTGAAAGTGTTTAGAATTTTAATTTTTCTCAAAATAAGTTCTTTGATATTTTTTTTTAACTTTACGAATACTATTTCAGCCAGAGAACATGAAATATTTAGTGGTACCCCTTAGTGTTAACCTAACCTTAGCATGAACTGTATTTGATATCAAACTCTTATTATTAAAAATATTATGCAACAAGAATTTAACCTAACCCATAATATTTTACATTAAAAAGTAACTAATTATCTACATTCTAAATCTGTTACAGGTATGGCGACATGTCTCAAGGACGTGTTCATAGAAGTCCCCATAGCGATAAGAGAAGGTAATACTGCCATCCTGCGATGTGACTATGACTTAAAACAAGAAGCCTTGTACACAGTCAAATGGTATAAAGGCCGTCGTGAATTTTTCCGTTATGTGCCTAAAGAGTTGCCGCACACAAGAGTGTTCCCTTTGCCCTCTATAAACGTAGACGTAAGTTTAGCATATGTAATTAGTGTACTGTAGTCATTTCCAGAATCAGCCAAATGGAATAACTGATAAACTTCACGTGGCTCGTTGCCATCACAAGTTTTCACACACCTACCCTTTTTTTCGGGTGAATTAATTAAACTGCAAAAATGTAAAAAATATTTCGATTTTTTTTTAAGGTCAGCGAATCAGGGCCAAACCAAGTGGTGCTGAGACAAGTGACGCCCGAATTGGATGGCAAGTACAGATGTGAAGTTAGTGCAGACGCGCCAACATTTCACACACAAATTGTAGCTGCTTGGATGCACGTTGTCCGTACGTATTATTATAATCTCGTAGATTTATACCATGGAAAACTCGTAACAAACTTAAAACAAATATTGAACCTTTTTATATATTTCAAATAAATTGTTTAATTTATTTAAATTATTATTTTGAATATTATAAAATGTTAAAATGTATGAAGTTGTAAATTCAAATTACATATAACTTATTTATTTCTTATATTATGGTTGGTAAATTAACTTATGTTTTTCAATTTTAAAATTCTAGCAGTTTTAATTAACTGTACAGATGAAATTTACAAACAAAATTATGTAAAATAATTATTGAAATTTTTTAATAATACATGTCCTTTAATTATTGTAACGTTGATTTTTTTTCATGACATTAATGTGTAAAACTAAAATTGTTCCAAAACATTCTAGAAAAAAAAAACTAGAAGAATGAATATATAAAAGAATTTCCATATAAAATCAAGCTAACTAACTGATATAATAAAATTTAATACAATTAAAAATATTTAATTAGTTTTCAATTTTTTTTTTAATTCATAAATATTGTACGTATAAACACCATTTGTTGTCCTACTATAAGCAAATAGATATATATATCAATTTTCAGTTATTATAAAAATAAAATAACACGAGGGTTGTATTATTTATCTTTTAGGGACAATGGACGGCAAACCAGAGTTACATCTTGAAAAGCCACAGTATTCTCTTGGTGAAAAGTTGAGAGCAAATTGTTCATCTCCGCCCTCAAATCCACCTGCAAATATCACTTGGTTCATAAATGATAAAGGGGTGCGTACAATAACATTTTATGATAATGAAAATTATGTTGCAAAAATAATACTTATACCAAGTCAAAGGTTACTATAATATACCCTAAAGTATATTATAAATCTTGTAAACTTAATCTTTTATAAAAACACAAAATTTAAAATAAAAATAAATAGTTTTATACAAAGTTTTTTTTTTCATTGCTATTGTCCGATTTTATAACTTTTTTAAGACTACAACACTTACTATATAATATATAGCTTTGATTAGGTCGACATAAGGGAATGTCATCTTATCGCACAACTCCCAGCATGGTTAAATAATTAAACAAACTATACAGACGTTTTTTAGTACGTTAATTGTTTTTCCAAAACGTATTCAAAAGAATAATATTTTAATTAAAACCTATTATTTTTATGTAAATTGGGTACTTTTTAACCTATTCTTTCCCACGGGCAATACCCAATGGTCTTAAATCTGTTTGATAATATAATCAGATAAAACAAATTTTAACTTTTTTATTAATTCTGTTGTGATTTGTGTTTTAACTATACTATATTTATATAAGGTTAAACGATTTAATTTATTTTTCGATTATATATAACACAAGGTATACTAATAAAACATAAATATAAATCGTTAAAAAAGATACGAGTCATAAATAAAAAAGAAAATACTAATATTATCCAACAACAATATATCAATAATTGTATTTAATAATCAACCCCATTGTATTTTTCATGTAACAATTTTACCTCAGTACAATCTTTCTTAACGAAATATATTTACTAATATTCATGTGCGTATTTTGTATGATACATTTTCGGGTGGGTATTGAAAAACATTTCGCATTTAATATAAGTACTATGTTTTTTACTTCTTATAATACTATCTTATTAAGGCTAACGAGATATTTTTACTTTTTTTACTTTTATTCGTATATCAATATTTTAAGAATTTTTATTATTCTATGTTTTTCTGTGAATGTCGCTCTTTAAAAAACGTAATAAAACTTTCATTGTACCTAAGTAGCTCTTATAGAAATAAATAAATATCAAAAATACAGAGCCACAATATTTATTTAAAAACGTCTGAAGTTCAAATTTTTACATTTTTTTCCAAACCACATACATTTACTTAAGTATTTAACACTTGAAAATTTGATTCAAGATTTCTCACCAGTTGTTCTTAGCATAAGTAATACTTTGAAACATATCAAATCGTGTCCAAAAAATTTTAAATTAATTCAAAAATTAATTTTCTTTACAAAAAAAATAAACAAAATAGTTTATGGGTGTTGCTTTTATACTCCCGTTATTTAGTAATATTTTTCCTTAACTATTTTGAAAATGATTAGAATTACTCACCCTCAAAGAACACCACTATTTTTCAGCTTAGTTGATGATTAAAGCAATTTTACCGATTCAAAAGTTAATGACACTCGTAAAAAAAATAAATAAATATACGTGCATAATTGTGTAGCCACAGGTAGGTACATTCATTGCTCTGCTCAGACTCTTAGATGATTGATAATATATTTTATCAGTTGTTAAGGAAATAAATTACAATTTTATGTTAGGTTACCGTAGTATTCATCTGTCGAAAAGATTGAATGGGATAACATACCTATATGGTAATTATCATTTATATGTCTGTAAGCCCCTGAGAGAAGAATGCAGGTTGCATGTTGTACAAAGTTGATTCATCGACTTTATTCCTTCACGAACAGTATTGAATCAAGATGTGCATATTTAAATACTAAGATTCTTCTAGAACATGATTTTTTTGTTTATTGTTCTCGTATATTCAAAGCCATCTATATTTATGATTTTTTTAATGATCTTGACATTATTTTCACTGCAAGTTAATAGAAAAAGAAACAATATTCCTCCAAGTAGAACTACAAAATAATGGATGTGATATTATATATGATTCGCTATATCTCGATATAAATTTCAACCAAAACTTAGAATTCTGAAAGAAATCATTTTTAAGACAAGGTAAAAAATAATTATAAAAAGTCATAATTTCTTGTTCTAGTAAAAAAATGTTCTTGTTAAGCATAGTAAGTAATAAAATCTTACTGTGTATAATAGTAAATATTAAATGAAATTTCTCTTGATCATTAGATTAATTTTTTTAAACGCTAGGTCGATTAGTGAATAGATATTATCGACTCGTAATATTGTGTACATTAAACCAGAAATTATAATTGTTTATTATTTTAACTCAACAATAATTGGAAACGAATTTAAAAGTTGAATTTTTTAATTAGCATTATGTTATTACATTATTACATTTATACCAATGCAATACTTATAGTTTTAGTGACTCGTCATTTATATTGGCTGTAATAAAATTTTAGAGTTTATGTAGTTATGTATATCTGTTATTATCTTCAACATTTTTAAATTAAGGATATTGTTTTTTATCTTTTATTTTGTGTGGTAGTTTTTATGTTATATATTTAAGTGTGAAGTTGCACTCTACAACTAAAACATAATATTTATCAACATAATACAATTTTTATTCTAATTTTTTTATTAATTTGGTGTAAGCTACTGTGTATTTTTAATTTATAAGGTCTTCTATGTAAAGCTATCATATTACTCTAATTTAATTATATTATTTATAGTGCTCATAGTTTCTAACTATCTCTCCCTCTTTGATTAATTTTTAATTGTTTGTACTATACAAGTTTAATGTGAATTTAAAATATAAATTGGACACAATTTATTTGAACAACATGTTATATTGGTCTTAATATGTTTGGTCAAAAGTTTTTGGACAAAACCATGTTTGGATCTATAACATTGGAGTATTAGACAAAAGAATATAATATAATATACTAATCGCTACTCACTAGTCACATAATGTTAAGGAGCTTAATATTTTCAGATGCGATATAAGCAATAAAAGATGATTGCAATTTTCTAGACTACTTCAAAGTAAATTTATTTAATTTAGTTATATCGTCAAATTATATTATTTTAGGACATAGAGCGTCGAGCGTTCAGTTCACGGAATAAGTTGTGTAACAAAATATTAATTGGATCGTTGAATATAAACAAATATGGCTGCCGTCTATTTATACCACTTTTAAATTATCAATTGGGTCGATAAACATAATTATTCACATTTAGTTACCTTAGAATTATCTGATACTATTTAAATATGCTATTTGAATGATGACTTTTGGCTATGACTGTAATGTTGATATTCATATTTTGGTGAGGTATAGTGATCAAACATTTTAATATTGTACGAAATCATTCAGTTAGTTTTACATCTACTTAGGTACCTAATAATATCTCTAAGCAATAATATCTGTGTAGAATTTAATTTGAAAAATATGGTTTAGATTTGTATGTATGAATAGTTCATACATTATATTTTATCTGAATTATATCAAATGTAAGGTCGAGTCGAAAAAGCATAATCACTAATTTTGTTTTAGCTGGGAAATGGTCACATGATCAGAATACCATCAGTCAGGCCATCCGGTGAATTATTTAAGACTATCTCGTCAATTGAATACGACGTTTTAATTGCTGGTAAGCTGAAGGTGAAATGCCAAAGTGACATATACCACGTCATTTGGTCGGAAACTGAAGTGATGCTGGACGAAGATAAACCAAGACTTGCGTCTATTCTACAACCACATGGTCATTCGGCAGGTAAATACTTGTAGTATATTATGTTGATATTTATTTCGATTGAATAACAAAATCATGTGCGCAACTTGATGAAAATGACTGCCAGCGAATATTTAATACTAACACGGCCATAATAACAAAATTAGCCAACAGCCAACATCATCCATTTCATCAAAGCCGACAATCTTCAAACCAAAATTAAAAATTAATTTTTAGATTGAGTACATATGATAATATGTTATAAATTTAAATTGTTTGTAAACCCAATGGCCCATGTCACCGAAGGCATCGTATAAATAAAAAATATAAAAAATAATAATAAAATAGATTGTAATTCAACCAGACTGTAGTCTGAAGTTTGAAATACACTTTAGTAACTATTTTTATGATTAATGTTATAAATTCAAATCTATTAATGTTAAAAATAAAGATAAATGCACCAATACCACTTCAATTAATTGAGCTGAAATAACCATCACGACTTTTAACTATATACTATTCATACATATACATGTAATATAATATGTAGCAGCACATGTTAGATGGCAGCATTTGAAAATTATAAGCTACATATAATCTAGTGGTGAATTTACAGATAGGTATTGAGTTACAATATCAATTTTTACGAAACTGGATATTTAAACTAAAAATTATGATTTTAACTCGAACGATTTTAGTTACATTGTTGTAATTCTAACCATATTAATCATAGAGACTTTAAATCTTGTCACCATTACGTATATTATTACATATTTTCTATACACCATACAATTTTTAAAATATTAGGCTAATTTTAAGCTATTATATCACAAATCTATTCACATTATACACCATTCAAATTGCAGGTATAATTTGATATTGACTTATAATTCATATGAAATATTTTTGCAGACACTAGTTATACCTAGGTACTGAATTGAGAAAAAAAATTAAACAACACAAATTACCTACCCTTAGAAATAGATATAGATCAGCATCTAGCCATCTACTTGGATCAGAAGAAGATAAAAATGTTTAAAAAAATGTTCTACAAATGTCGATGAAAAATGTTTCGCTCTGACAAAAATTTTAAAAATAAGTAATACTAGGTTTTGCATAAGTTTTTACTAAAACTTTTTTCAAGTATTATAGATACATAGGAACTATTATTTTTATTATCATTTGAAGATAAAATTTCAATAAAATTCGTCAATGTCACTAAAATTAACAAATTATTTTACAGTTGAAAACTTATAATATGCACAATTGTTATAGCTTAAGCTTAAAAATTTAATATTTTGAAATTTAAATTTAGAATAAAAAAGATATTTAAACGAATAATAATAATTTTAACTGTTTTGCTACAGTTAAAATTGTGTTCATATGGAACTTTCACGTATGCTATTATATTTTGTGCACACAATGATATTTTTAAAACATTTAAATGAACTGTTTACTACTGTCTGGTTATACCTCGAACCTATGTCCTATTCACACCGTTTTACATTATAGAGGTATATTGACTCAAAAGTAAATCACTATAATACATTATATAAATATTTATTATAAATTTATTGTATTTTCCTTATGAACAAAAATAAAAGTAAAGAAAAATAAAACCTTGAAAAAAATGTTAACGTTTCAGAATTAGTGAATTATGATTAATTTTCTGACCTACAGCTGGACTGTAAATGGAAGCCAAATATCGTGTGTACATATTTCCGTACCCTTTGTTCATGATGAACGGGAGGCAACTTTCAAACATTTCCGATCATATGCGAACATTAAAATAATAGTGGCCTATAATACGGAGGTCGACTGGTCCGGACCGTGGGCTAACAAGAGCACAATCGATGTGGGTAAATTGCGTGTTTTCAAAAGTCATTGTTGGTTTTGACAGCCAACAATGGAGAATGTGGTTTAATCTGGGGCTACGTTAACGGGGACATTTCGGTACAATAAGTTCCCCGGTGGAACTGACCGCGCACCGGTGGGCCGGGGCGGACATTAACTGTTACGGAAAGATTGGAACAAAAAATTTTGAAATAAATAAAAAAAACAACGGGGTGAAAAAAGGAAATGACATTGGTGACACCTCTCTTCAATAGACAAACCCGCGCGAAATGAAACTTGTTCGGAACGCTGACGTGAGTGGGATAACTGCTATCCCTCGGGAAATCAAACATCGACATGACCAGGATGATATGTGTAGGTACCTACGATAGGTAGATGGGCCCCGCAGTTAACGATATGACAGATGTATGGGGGGAGAACCGTTATTATACTTACATTACGATGATTATTATTATTATTACTTTAGTATTATGCATGTACGCGTAATAATATGTGTGTGTGTGTGTGTGTGTGTGTGTGTGTGTGTGTGTGTGTGCGCGCGCACGCGTCTGTATAACCAACGCACATGGCAGTTTTTCAAACCAACCCTCGTGGAGTTTACTTGTTAACAAGTTATTCCCCGTATAATTTGTCTTTGCCATTAATATATGTAAGTTGGATGATTAAAGTAAACTTGTTAGTGAAAACTCTTCATTATTATCTTATCCAGGGTTTTTGAATGCGTAGTTCCGACTAAAATTAAAGCCATTGGGTGAGTTTATTTTAAAAATTAAAAAAAAATATATGTATATAAGTTTATCAGGTATCAAGGATATCCAATAGGTATTGCTACCCCAAAAAATGTAAAACTCAAAACACGAAAGCTATCGTGTGAAAACAATAGTAATAATAAATATAATATCATGTGTTAATTATAAATATATATTATGATGAAATAGGTAATAGTTTTATAATATTATTAGATTAGTAATGTGCCATAATACTATAAAAGTTTCTTCCACGCAACCTCTATTCAAATGTTTCATCTGTTTTAAATATATTACGATTTACAGCATTTAAAATTATAATTTACACTTACGAATTTAGTATATTTTACGTGCAAGCGTTATATTTGGTACAGCTGTCAAATTGATGTTTTTTTTAATAAATGAGATGTAGCAAAATATCAGTACACTTAACAACTACACAAAAACAACTTCTAAATCCTACAAAAACGTTGTACAAAATAATAACAGTAGTTCTCAAAAATTAGATTGCTTTTTGTATTTTATTATATATTTTTTTCTTTACTAATTAAGTGTGCTTTTATTTTAAAAATGTTTACACCCAAAGACACTTATAATAGCAGAACAAATTTCATTGATATTTACAATTTGTTGATTTCAAAATTAAATAATATAGTTTGTACTCTACTGGGTCAAAAGTAAAAAAAAAAGTAATTTTCAAAACTAAAGAGAACATTTTTTTTTGTTATTTAAAAATAATAAACCTGACATTCACAAAAGTATTTTCTATACAATATCTTACTATTGTTACTTATTTTGATATTTATAGGCATTAAAAATGTTCAATTATTTTTAGCTTTTTTTCTGTTTGTATAAATAACATTTTTGGTTTTAGTTAAAAAAAAAAGCTTAACAAATTAAGTACAATTCTCTCTAAATTGTTTTTGCAACATTTAAAAAAATATCAAAACCAATACTCCCTACTTTTTTTTTTAATTTCGTCAAATCCACGAACATTTTGCAAATTTTTTGTGGTATGAAATGTATACAACTTTGAAATTTAAGACCTAAGGTGTAAATGCAAGATTCTTCATCATAGGTTTTCCTTACAACAAAAAATGTAGCGAAAAGCCACATCTTTTTTATGAGCGTCTGAAAATAAAATTTCAATAAAATGTAATAAACTTTTTTTCTTTTTATCCAATTATTGACTGGTTTGACATACTAAATATTTACAATGTAATAGATTTACAATAAATACAAATCAACATAAGGAAGTATTATGTTTTTTATTAGATATCTGGTTTGTCGGCCTTCTATAGGAAGACGTCTTGTGGTAGACACGGTTTTAGCAGGCTTTAGATATTTTTAAGCCGATTTTGTAATGCTGAGTTTCTCTGGTTTCATTTAGGTTATTGTGGACGTTTTTGTTTTAGTTAATTATTCATGTATTGATAGGTAGAGCAATCCCGTGTCATTGTGAAATACTGAGATCGTATCATTATTATACACAACCTAATGGGCTTTGAGTGCTATTCACAGGAATTTGTTTTGGAGAATTGATGGTTTTTAATTATTGTTTGTTAAGTCGCAGTCCATACTGTAGATGTGCAAGTTAATAGTAGTCTTAGCATTGCCATAATATCAATAGAGGACATTTCATCGTAAGGTTAAATGTGGTTTAACGAGCTGTATAAGTAAGCAATGGCTAACACTTAACAAAATATAGTAGGTCCAATGCACATTTTTTTCATAAAAAAATATATATCGTCCAAACAGGGTACACTTTATCACTCATTACCCTGTCAATATTTTTCAATTCTGTCTGTGGGACATTATACTAGACTGACGTATCATAAATTCCAAGGCAATGAGTTATAAAGTGTATACACTATTTCCACAGACACACTGTACACTTCACTAGCTGAATATCCCTGCGCGTTTCACCAGTGTGAGATTTTTATTTTGTGGCGAATCCTATGTAGTATACACACTAAAAAAGAGTGTATAAGTTCAAGTGTACATACCTCAGTTTCAGAAAAATCGGCGTTAGTGTACCTAGTTTTTTAAAATAATTCTACTTAGATGAGCAACCGAAAGTTATGAATTGTATATTTTCACCGCGGTTTAAACTAATTACTCCCAAAACTTTTCTGATAACTCTAAAAACAAATTCTGAGATTTTTGTCAAATTAAATTGAGTAGTTAATTACACACATACATTTGGTTTTCAGATATAGTTTCTACACCTGTGATGTACAGTAGTTTTCGAGTATGTAAATGTAATTAATGTATTATATTTGAACTCAATAATGTACCATTGCACACGAGAAACGGTTTTATTATGAGACGTTTGTGTCATCCTAGAATACTTGTTGAACAATCACATTTGAACATTTGAATTAAATTAACAAAAATCTAAAATATCTTATGGATATAAACAGCGTATCTTTCCGGGAAACT